ACTTACACTTCCAAAAACGTTAATAAATCTTTTACGTAAATATTGGGATATTATATGACTTTTGTAGGGTGGTTTGAGTATTAAACCCTCATTCTGACAGGGCCTCTGTTGGAAGGGAGAAAAGGAAGCTTTCTTTCCCTTCACCTACAGAAGCTGTACTTCAGATACGGGAGTGTTTTTTCCCTCTCCTTTGTGTATAAGATTCCTTTGTTCTCTTTTCTTGAGAGATTTCTACTGTTTAACTTCCATGTACATAATATTTGCTATTGCTGTGATACACCAGTCCCCATTTGCTATTTCTATTCTCTTTGCTATTATTCCACAACAGCTGCATTGCAGTGACACCTGTGTACAGCTCTCGATTTTTTAGCTGATAAGAGGTGCTATAGCATTTTATGATGACAAACTAAAATGCAGGATGAGGGCATTATTTCTACCCCTCTCAACAAACTCTGCTTCCTGTTTGCAAATAATTGTTGTTTTTCCCCAACATTGGACACTTTTAAGATGCAGCTGGACAAAGCGCTGGGCCATCTTGTCTAGACCATGCCTTTGCAAAGAAAGGTAGGACCAGCTGATCCTTGAGGTCCCTTCCAACCTGGTATTCTATGAAATACAGAGCAAGCACAAACGCAGGGGGTGAAGAGAGCAGGCATTTCCACCTCTGTAAGTTTATGAATCAAAAGTAAAGGTGCACTAATACAGCCTTAAACCCCAGCTTTCTAGCAGAAGCTACCCAACCCTAAGTTCTCTTACCAAAAAAAAAAAGATTTTGCCAGTTCCATACCAACATTAGCAGGAAGTGAATAAACCTTTCTATTACAGCGCTAAACCAGACTCCGGTCTGTATGTGTTCTGCTGCTCCAGATCTACCATGTAATCCTGGAACCAGTTCATCAATTTCCTTATCTACAAAATGAAGGCCCCAATTTCCATCAATTGCATAGTTCCAGGTTTTAAATTCTGCAGGGTAGTGCCTACTCCTTCCAGTGTCTGTGCAGTGCTTACAAAAGGCACTATGACAAGAACGGGAGTCTAAAACCAGTATGAGAGCACAGGCACCAGAACAAATAGTTCTGTGTTCCAGGAGGTCTCAGACATCCATGCAGAATTTGAGACATTTAAATTACCGGAAAATTCTGGGTACTTCTGCTGAGGACAATTTTCAGCAAATAAGAAGGGTGATCCCTGGGGTCCAGAGAGAGAGTCTCCTGCAAGAGTCCGATCCTTTCCACATAATAGTAAAACTCTGGAAACATACACTTTTATGGTAACCTACAGATTTTAGTCTATTGTGTTTTATATGATTTGCTATTCCCATACTTTTTCTACCCACATGGTAAAGATCATTTTTCCCTGCCTAGAATCTTGGCGGTTAAAGTGTATAAGAATACACTGCTTTATCATATGAATTGCCAGCTACAGGTGTCTCCTTACATTTAAGGAAGGCTTTTCCTGCTGTGCCAAGGTCAACCTGAGACACAATAAGAACAGATGTGATCAGTGAATCTCTGAACATTGAGGCAACACAGAAGGAAAAGGCTTCATACGCCCACTGAAGTACCCTTAAGAAAGGGATAAAGGCAGCACAATGATGGGCTACATCTTCCACTGTACAATATTTCTTTGTATTCCACAGAAAGCAAAAAGGTTTCTTTTGAACTTGAGCGTGCAATACATTGGGAAGAAAACTGTTGGATAAAAATAACAGACAGGATAGAAAATTGAGATCAAGAGGGAATCATGATCAACCCTTCACAATAATAGCATGCAGGTTAGTAACAGATCATCTTGTACTTGCAACTAGTTGTAGGAAAAACATTCATACTTAATCTCAATATATGTAAAACTCTCGATCCTGTCTAGCCAAGCACTCTGACCTAATATGCCAGTTAGGTTGCTGCTTGAATTTGCTGCAGTAAGCCATAATTTCTTTTCTTTTTAAAATGGCAAGTTTTATATTCTCCTTGTAATACTGAACATAAAAAGTCTACACCATTAGCTCTAACAGTGCCCAGGTGCTGCTGCAAAAATGAAACAAACCAAACAAAAAAAACCATGCGAACAAACAAACAAAACCAACCAAAAACATTTCATGTGAATGTTAAGACAAATTAAGAGGTAGTGCTGAAATCCTGAGGCTGCCTTCTAATCACTCTTGAGCTGCATAAAATTTTACCCTGCTTCTACTGAGTTTTCTTTCATGTCATTAGTACATTTGTTCGTACAAGGTTAAGAAAATATAGCCAATTCATTTAAGACACTGTCAAACTCACCAACTATTTAAGTCCTGTCATTACATAGCTGGAGACTGCAATTTTAAGATTCCCACTGACTTCAGAAAACAAAAGTTTGACAAAGTATTCTTATTATTAAAAACACAGATTATAAAATATAATATTTTAAGACTTGGGAGAATAGTTAGATTTACAGTTGAAGTAAAATCACGGGGACCATCATTCTTATTCAGTAACATTTGACCTGAAGATAACAGAGTGACTGCCAGATGTTATTTACACTGCTAGCTCAAATTTCAGTCGGCTAAAATACTGGTGCAGCAACACTGCTGCAAAAACACTTGTAAAGCTTTGGTGCATCTTTTTTAGGAGAGAAATAGTGGTTTTATGTCTGAAAAACAGCTAGCATTACCTCTTTTCTTTCAGCTCTATAATAAAGTTGGCACATCTTTCAGTGGAACTGACTTCTCCCAGTTCAACAGCTCCATGTCCAAGAGGAGAGCAGTGACGAGGGGCGTTCCTCAGGGGTCGGTGTTGGGCCCGGCGCTGTTCAACATCTTTGTCGGTGACACGGACAGTGGGATCGAGGGCACCCTCAGCAAGTTCACCGACGGCACCCAGCTGTGTGGTGGGGGACAGGCGGGAGGGCAGGGATGGCATCCCGAGGGACCTGGGCAGGCTGGAGAGGGGGGCCCGGGCAAACCTCATGGAGTTCAACAAGGCCAAGGGCAAGGTCCTGCCCGTGGGCCGGGGCAATCCCCAGCACAAACCCAGGCTGGGCCCTCGAGGAGTGGCTGGAGAGCAGCCCCAAGGAGAGGGACTGGGGGGGCTGGTGGGGGGAAAACTGCCCGTGAGGCAGCCCCGTGCGCTCGCAGCCCAGAACCCACCCGTGCCCTGGGCTGCAGCCAGAGCAGGGGGGGCAGCAGGGCCAGGGAGGGGATTCTCCCCCTCTGCTCCGCTCTGGGGAGACCCCCCTGCAGTGCTGGGGCCAGCTCGGGGGCCCCCAACAGCAGAAGGACCCGGAGCTGCTCGAGCAGGGCCAGAGGAGGCCACGAAGATGTAAAGAGAGTCGTTACCATCACCTACTCCATCTAAAACATCAATATTGCAGTTAGTCATTGTGTACCTACTAGGCTAGATGCCTCCATATCAAAATGAATTACATTTTAAATTCTTAATTATGCAAGTGCCTGCGAACATTAATTTTTAGAAAGATGCTTTAAGCCTTTAAGTCAAGATGTACATTCATCCTATCCCATTTCTGCAATTTACCCAGAGTGAAAGCTTTTCAATACTTCTCATTCTAAAGAGTCACCACATCTACTACAAACTGGCAAGCTGGCACATCTAAGTGCATAGGAATAGCAATTACTGTCTTTTTCAGTTTATCATTAGCAACTACAAAACCTATACTATTCAATATATATGCAAGCTCCATTGTTAATGCAGTCATCTGGAAAAAATAATGTAATTAATATTAGACTGTTCTCTAGCCCGTATGTAAGGCTGACCTCTGTGCAATTTTGACTTTATGACCTTCAATCTGGAAATCAACATTTTCATATGTTCACAAGCAGAATTCAATTACAAAGAAAGAGAAAGTGTGGCACCTAAAAATCAATAGCCCATTATAGTATCCCATGATGGACAATTTTACCTGTATTTCATCTACTGAAATGTGATACTACATGCTATCATATTGCTTGCTTGGAAAATATTGCAGGCCTTTGCTCAATTTCACTGAAGTTAGCTGCATGATCATACCCATCAGTACAATTCTACACAGTAAACAAATCAAATTTGCTAACTTTAAAAGGACAGTTAAGAGCACTCAGTGAGAAAGCTCAGTAAGTCCAAGTACTTGCCATCTGAGAAAGCATGTTGTGCAAGAGAAGTTGGTTAATTTGCAGCAAAGAACACTTTTAAATAAAAAAAAAGAACTATCTTTTAAATGAAGAGGTAGTTTCATTACATTTTTATGACTTTACGGAAGCAAGGCCTGACTTCTGTTGCAGTCTGGATTGCTGAGCATTTTTGAGCAGGGCACTGGAAACTGACACTAGCTGAATTAATAATGTATGTTATTAATATACTGAAATATCTAAACAACATAGTAAGTTCATTTTACAGTGCTTTATGTCATGACAGCCAGTGTTGCAACCATGATTCTTTCGAGCTAGCCATATGTTTAGTTGCCAGGAGAAAACAAGAGTTTTGGCAAAACAACCACCATACCAGTTCTCACACTGGCATTCAAAAAACCTCCCCCAGCCTGGTTTCCAACTAAAGTATTCAGCTACAGCACTTAATCTGATCGCCAGTTTTGGACTAACTTCAAGTTTCAAAACAAGTAACTGGATAATCCACACTACAGAACTATAACTTGCAAGATCTCCACGGACATCCATTTGTCAGGTAACCCTTGCTTCATGTACTCAAGGTTACCTTCTTTTACACCGGGGGTTGGCCAGATCCTTAAAAAAGAAAACAGCTTTTTCTGGAACTTAATTCTCCAACAAGGGACAGATTCTCACAGAACACACATGGCTCCAAAGGCAGATAAAAAAGATGCTCATTAGGTGGCTGACACACGCAATTTTTTTTTTTTTCCTTTCTATCAGTGAAAAGTTCTCTACTTTTCACACTGAATATTCAACTAATCCCTACAAAGAAAGATATGTTCATAAACTGATTACTGCAGTAAACTATACCAAAATCTGATGCAATAAACAATTGATAAATAAAACAATGACTGTTCACAGATAAATTCCGTACTTTCATGTTTCTAATCAGAAGAGTCTCCAACTTGACACCCAAAAGGGCTACAACGAACAAAAAACAGCACTTCATCTACAGAGACCAGATTTGGAGGATCACTTTAACTGCATCTTCTTACCTCAGCAATAAACTCTCTAAACTGAAAGTTCACTTACAAAACGTACAAACACGAAGAAGAATCAAGACATCTGATGACATTATGTAGGACATAAGAATTCACAGCTTCTGAGCCATGCTCATGATTTTAACATGAGGTTTACTTGCAGAAAAGTGGAAAATATGACTTTGTTGATGGAAGCACAGTTTATATGCATTATACAGAAATCTACTTGAGTCAAAGGACTCCTTAGGAGAACACCAAAAACACTTTACAAAGTTATTAATTATACATTCATTTTTAAAGGCAACTTTGACAACTGAGATCTAATTTGTAAACACGAACAGAAGCTTGACACTTTGTTTGTACTTTAATACTTACTGAAAGACACACCACATCAAAAGAACACCTTTTACTCATCTAAACAATTAGAACAAAGCATTACCACAAATAGGTCTAAAATGTTTATTCCAGAGCCTTTTTACCTGGAGTCTGAAATTCAGTAAACCAACTCCAGATTCCAAGTTGTGTGTAAGCGAGTTTATTGTGTTTTCACTCACTTAACTGAACAGCTTACTAATTCTGAACATACTTAAGCAGCACATTTTTCCAGACTCATCAGTGGCCTAGTCACCTAAGGTCAAATTAAAGAAAACTGATGCAAGTCTTGTACTTTTACACATGTACTCAGACTACCAGAAAAAAGGCAGTAATTTTCATAAAAAACTGATATTGTGGTATATTCTGCTAAAATATCATGTGGTCAATTTATCCATCTCAAAACAGAGATGAGTAAATGCTGGTAAACTTTATTTAAAAGCTTAATAACTATTTCATTGAAGCAATATTTAGAAGTCTGAATTATTCACTAATTAAGACATTTAGTAAACTCATATTTGTCCTTTCTTTATTATGAAAACACTTCAACTAAGAGACATTTGAACACTGCTATTTTCTTATGCTACCGTTTATGTACTTTCTAACTGAAGTATAATTAACACACCGCATGCCATTCAATATCAGTTAAAACTGTCATTAAAGTTCTGAAGGACTGCCACATGGTGGAGGTAGATGCCTACAACTTGAAATGAAAGGCAGACATGATGTACTCTAACTTTTGATCTTCATTTTATGTTAGTGTACATGACTTACACAAGTAAGGATCACTTACTTCGAAAGCTACTAGAGAGCTAAGTTGAGGAGGGGAGGGGAAAAGTAGGACAAAAATAAACGCCATCTCAAGTCATAGAGAGTCTTTACCAAAAGAATACCTGTTAAAACTGTATTGAAATTACCGCTGAAACAATACAACAAATCCTTCTAGAATTTAAAACTGTGCAGATCTATAAACTAAGAGAAGTGAATTAGATCCCTGAGTAACATGCGTGTGATGTAGGCAGACAACAGAAAATAAGTAATCACGAGTTTTATTTTAAACTAAAGCCCTAATCCAATGAAAAAAATGTAATTTGCAGTCTTACAAGAAACCCCATACAACTGAAACCAGAACTGAGTTTCATGCATATATTACACATCACTAACTGAAGTCCATAACTTTGGTTTTCATGTAAATCACATCTAGCTACTGCTAGAAGAGAATCCTTCCTTATAGCAAAACAGCAGGTAAATAGCTGAACAGGAATAATTGGATTTTTAAATGCAGTGCTACCTAGCAACATTAGCTAGCCTTGAAAAGGTTTACTTGAAGACCTCCAAGTGTTTCAAATTCTTCTCACATGTACTTCTCAGTATCCTCTGCCCTTTCACACATGACCCCTGTATACTCATATAATGAATAACAGTATTACTGAGAACACATTGCAACGAAGCTATGCAGTGGTTTGTGCAGTGTGGGACTAATGTTCTCATACTTCGTAAGCCCAAATCACTGATACCAGGGTTTAATGCTCAACACTAAGACAACACACATTAAGTCTTGCCAGCAGTCTTTACCAGAAGCCATATGAAGATAATGTCTTAATGATACTGTGCAGAATTACACAGATTTTTATGTTCTAAATGTTCTTCTCCTCCTATTTACTACCCCCAGAGCAAAGTAAACAACATCCACCACTCCCAAGTGCTTTTACTCCACAGGAACCTGCAATGACCTATTAGTAAAATCATTCTTAAGGCTGTAAGAAACAAGAGATTAAGGTAAACAGCTGGGGAAAACAAAACAAAAAACAAACAAAAAACCCCCACAACTTAGCACAGTTCTAAACTTGGTAGTTATTGGTAAAATAAGTCACTGGAAACTACTGACTTTGTCTATAACTCCTTCTTTATGTATTTGGCTTCAAATTTACTTAATCCCAGTTCAATCTTATTCATCACTTCATTAAACTAAATCCTATACACATAATTACAAGCCTGAAGCACACCAGAAGTGTATTTTGAAAAGCAACTAGCAACACAAGAGTTAATCTCAACTACCTATTTTCTTTCTGAAGTCATCTACATCATATTTTTCACCAAGTCCAATGCACTGAGAAAAAACATTCAGATATTAATTAGTCTTGAGCCATTCCTTTTGATCAAAAGGAAATGGATGAGTAGCAACCAATATTCCAAAAGCATCAGTCAGAACTTACACTAAAACATGTCAAAAATCTCTAAATCTGCCTACACGTAGGTGACTTCTAAAGCATAACAATGAAGCATGAAGTGCCCTGAGGTAGAAACCTAACTTCTCATTAAGGGCTCTGGGAATTTTTCCTCAGGACCATCTCTAGCTTAATCCTGTAAACTGGGTGTCCATTAGCATCTGAGGGACATGAGGCATGCTCCTGGACTAATCTTTCAGTCTAATTTCATCAGAGAAGTGCAGCTGAAGAACTTCTGAGACCACACTGCAGCATGAAGCAAAGCATGGAAATGGGTATGACTGGGCATTCACCTGACCAACACACTGTTGACCCCAACTAAGACGCTGATGTTGACCCACACTAACATATCCACAAAGTCAAAAAAAGGAATAGTTGCATGTAATTTCCCAAGTATTGGAGAAAAAAATTGCTCTCTTCCCTGGTGAAAGAGACCTTTACCTCAAAGACTATGAACTTACATGACACACATGATTACTTGAGAGGCTCACCTCCAAAAGAAAGCTTCAAGGTTGGGGGAAGTTCAATTTTTTTTTTTTTTTTTTAAATCATCATTCAGCCAATACCTTAGAGAAAACTTCTTAGAAGAGACTTAAAATGAAAGCAGCTCTGGTCACCGACACATTGCATTTTTCTATTCCACTATTTCAGCTCAACATTTTATAGCTTAAAATGCTACAGTTTGTTACATGTTAAGCACACACTGCCATAAAGTACCCATGGAGATGACATTTAAACATTAGCTAGTTTTAACACTGGGTATTACTACTTCAGAAAAAAATCAGCAGCATTTGCTCTGCTGATAACACTTAACTAAACAGTAAGCAGCATCATCCTTAACAGTTAAGAGTACTGCACATAGTTTTTCCCCATACTTGTTTAAAAACCAACCTAAGAAAAACTTAACTTTATTTTGCTTTATTAATAAAACAAAGAGTTAAAATGTTCCTATAACATTTAGAACAATGTCAGAGAATTATAAAACAGCAATGAAACCTAATAAAAAAATTGAAGTCACATATACTAAGAGCAGTCCCTGTCCCTGGGAGCCAGCTGTGCATAGTGTTTTTCCTGCAAGTAGCCCATCATCTTTCCAGACAAAAAAAAAAAAAAAAAAAACAACACAGTAAAATTGAAGGCATCAGTAAATGAAGCTGCCATTTTAAACATCTCCAACATACTGGGAAGTAATTCACAGAAAGTAATTACAGAGGAAAAGTCAGTGCTGATATTTTTTTCTACAATCATGCAATCAGAGCACAAATGGGAAAAAAGCACTTATATTTATGCTTCCTCAGTTTTTAAAACTGTGTGTACATTGCCATCATTTAAAGTGCAAGCTACATGTGTGCTGAATTAACTGAAGGCATAACAGGTGAGATGTAAGTTAAAATACTGCCACCAGTAGTTATACAACTAACCACTGATGCCAGTAGCATATTTCAAACCCTGACCACTTAGTGAGTTACTTCCTCTTCTATATTACCAGCCGAACACATATTCCATTGCTTTAGATACAATACTTTCATCTTTCCTAGGAGTTTGTCTGTCAGAAACCACCTAGAAGGCAAGGGGAAAGAAGAGAGAAAATAAAAATCAGTCAACATATAGTTGATGGTTTTTATACTAACCAGGTTTTTTTACTTTCTTTTCCTAAGTACTATTATATTTTGAAAAAATATGTTTGAAAGATTTTCAAAACAAGCCCTTAACTTCTGGAAAACTGACAAGTCTATTTTTTTAATTATTATTATTTTAGAGTCTGAACAGACTCAACTTTATACTTAAACCACATCTTTAAAGAAATTACAGGAGAAAATAAAGGCTAAGGTCACCATTGAAGTTAATGTGTGTTAGGGGAGATAGCACAAAGAAACACATGCTTCTTTTTTCCTTAAAATACCTGATAGTCACTAGTGGAAGCTTTATATGCTGTTGCAAGAGGTCTCATTGTAGAAATTCTTGCAGTATTATTTGCAGGTTGCACTGGTGTGCCAACAGATTTTGTAGGTGAAGTGAAAACTGAAGACATTGAAGATGCAGAACTTCTTTCAAAGTTTTCCATCACACTCTTAAAAAGAGGTTTAATATAAACAAATATTAAAAAGCATTATTTCAACCTTTACTATCAAGTATTATCTATTATCTAGATTTGATAAAATAAGTTCACATCTCAAAGTAAGTAAAGCCCAAGAACGAACTGCCTATCAGTACAGAGCACCCAAGCACACACCACCACCAAGCATCTTCCTCGCTGCTACCATTTATATGTTGGGTTATGCCACTGCGAAGCAGTGGAAGCTGGCAATCTGTTCACAGTATGTACTAAATGTCAGCCAAGTTTAAAACAGTATCGAGAAAATAAACTGAAAGACTTGCAACAACCTTCAAGTAGCAACTTTTTTCAGGCCCAGTGGAACTAAGTAGCATAAAACCCTCTTTCTAAATACTTCTAAAATATTTTAGCTGACCCACACAGGACAGTCTCCAAGCCTTTACCAACTTACAGCTTTTTACTCAGATTCAACTTGCCAAGGCGTTTCACTCACTCCCCTTAGCAAATGCTAGAAAAGGAGTCAGAATGCTCCATTATGTAAGCTTATGTATAGAAATGAATGCATGCAGAATGGAAGAGACTGCAAGTGACTTGATAGGAAGCACAAGTTCCACAATAACCCAGAGAAAACAAGATGAGAAACGACAAGCAGCCCGGTGAGACCCAATTTGCTGCATTTAGAGTCAGTGAAGCGCAGCATTCAACCAGCCTAAAGACAGCAGAAATTACAGGGGACATCTGGCAGGGAACAGCTATCCAAACTACAGGACAGGATTGGTGTCTAGTGTGGGCGGCAGCTGACTCTGCTCAGCACAAGGGGAACCCATGGAACTAATTGCTACTTTTAAATCAGAATCCTAAGCACTGATGTCAAATCCATCATATCTAGTTTTCAATTGCAAGGAAGAGCTAATATCAAACCCTCAATGGATTAGTCTCCAGAAATCTCTCTTGCCTCCAAAAATACAGGTTAATGATTATGGGTTTTTTATTGAAAGTGGACACCACCCACAAAAGACATAATGAGAATTCATAAGCAACAGAAATCAGATGCCTGTCAATTAAAAGTCTTACATCATTACTTCAAGTTTCAGCTTATAGGCAATTCAGTCACTGATACAAACTCAACACCAAAACAATAAATGAGACTGGAGCCCTACCATCATAAGCCCTCAGAGGAAAGGGGTACTGAAGTACATTTTCTTCTGAATTTTAATCACGATAAGACACTTTTCAAACTGATAAAAACACAAGTAATTGCAAGCTCAATTTCTACGACTGCCTTCTCACAATGGTTTACATTTGGAAGCTTACACTGCTCTTTAGCATCACTTATCCTTAGGGGAGACCAGAAAAATCATCTCTGAACTATAGAAGAATGACTGTCCCTTGCTGAAGCTAATGTCCAGCATCCAATGCCTAGAAACTAATAGCTCATGATAAAATTAGACCAATACACAGCCATGCCTAACACAACCACTACTTACAAGAAAGGAACATGTTTTTCTGGGGGCAGCTGGGAGAATAGGGTCAGGACTGTCTTGCTAACCAGTTTTCAGTCTGACGTACTGAGATAAACTGAAAAGCCAGAACCAGATAAATGTTTACATAAAAAAAGAGGAACCATTAGAAGCAGTAACAGTCTTAACCTGCCGTCACACATCTTGCAGCCCTTAAAAGCCACAAATTCCAGTCTGGGAAACTTATCCTCATTGCCTCTAAACGCTACGGTTTCACTTCATAACTTGTACAGCAATATAACTCTGTGCATTGTAACTTCCAAGGACCACAGAGATTTCCCATAATTCATCTCCGCAGGAAAATTTGCCAAACACAAAAAAAAATATCATGTAAACAGACTATACCTATACAACTGAACCACCAGTGCTTTGCAATTCAAAAAGAAAAAAATTAAGAGGTCAGGGAAAATAAAGAGAAAACTCAAAAGCAGCGTGCCTTATATTTAAGTAAAAGTAACTATTAACTTACTTTATCTATACACGGCTTGACACCAATCATGATAGATTCACCAAAAATTCTTCCATCTTTACTTAAGGCTTTCCGTGCTTGAAGCTTAGACTGATATCGAATATGCATCCAGTTTCCTGTGTTGGACATCTGTATGAGATTAAGGGAAAATTGTGAAATTTAGCCTTTTAAAGAATGAGCCAGAATGCTTTCAGAAATAAGTCTTAAACTAAGACATACCACATGCTTTAATATATTTCCATACTGAGCAAACTGTAGAAGAATATATGAAGCTGATGCTTGAGGAAATCTGAAAGACATAAAAAAAACACTCAAAAAATAATTAGTTTAAGAATTCTGGTGCTAAAATATAACCCTATGAAGGGTTTTTAGAAATCCAAAACAGACCAGTGTGTTAATGCCATTTTAGAAACAGTGACTTGAGGAATATTATCTTCTAGGCATTTTTACTTCACCACACAACTCAATGGCAGAATTGAAACTGGAAAAAATTAACACATAGCTTCAGTTAAGGTGTTTCACTGAAGTGTATGCATTTCCTGGCTTTAACCACAGTTGTATTTCCCACAGAATGTAGGGATGCCAGACAACAGCAACATCCAAGTACTTCTTTCTGTATGTTGCAAAGACTTCACCCATAATTTTTCTAATACTTTGGAAACCAACTTACCCAAATACAGTTACCCATGTGTCATCAAGTTGATCTTCTGAAGTCAGGGAATCACCCTGAGTATAAAAAGGATCTAGCTGAGCAGGAGATAGAGTAGTCTTCCTAGGCTGTCCAATACTTGTGGGACTGAACATACTTGAAGCTGTTAAATTGAAATTGCATTGTTTAACAAATTACTTTTGCAAGACAGATAAACTTAAGAGCCTATAATAAAAGAATAAATTCAGTATCAAGCATTGAACTTGTATATGAAAGATTCTGATGGAGAATTATTTACAGATACAGACAAACAGTAAAACCAATCCAAACTTCACATCTGCAAGCATGCTAGTAAGTTTTATGACTAGCAACTTCACTATCTCCTTAACCTCTAAACACCAGCAGCTTAATGCAGAAGCCAAAAAGGAACAAGACAGCAGAATTAAGCTTAGCAGGAAGCCACAGGTCCATACACAAGATAGGAAACCTTATGAAGATGGAAGGTGACCCATCAATCTCGGCTGCTTCACTCAAGTACAACCAACCTTGTGCTCAGTTACACAACAAATTTTCAATAAGGACTAAGTTGATGGAAATTCAGTCAGTCTCAGCGTGGCAAATATTTCCTATTCACACACCTTTTGAAAATCCAGTAAATAAAGATGCAACTCCTTCACAATTCAGCAAGGAGTCGATGTAGCTTGAACAGTGAGGATTTTTGCATACTAATGAAAGCAGCAAGAAAGTAGATTATATAACTTTGACGTGACACCTACCTGTTCCAGGAGTTGATGGCATAGTTCCAACCAATGGACTCTGTGTTAGAGAAAAGCTACCCTGCATTAAAATACAGAAAATAACACATCTTTCTTAAAGGTACACTTCTCAGATCAGAAGAAATCATCTTCAGGTAACTTAAGCATCAGACAAGAATATTTACTGTTTGCCTTAAGCTACTCCTAACTTTTAAAAGTAAGAACAGACATGTATATTTAATACAAAATTATTAGAAGTTATTAATGAAAAGTTATCTGACAAGTTTTTACGTTCTAGCACACAGCAGACACCTTGGACATCCAGTAAGACTCAACTAGTACATTCTGGAATTTCCAGCTGATGACTAAGCCTTAGAATAGAAAGCATCTAACTTTCCTGATCAGAGGCTTAAATGCCAGTATCGGAGATAGTATGGGAGTGTAGAGCATACTACAGAATGGAAGCACTACAAGCAACAGGATTCACGGTCTATCTACAATATTTTATCATCTAACAAGAAGGAGTTACCTGTATACAAGAATAAAACTTATTTAGTCTTCAGGTGAGCTTTAGGTAACAGGAACTGAAAAATCCATTACCTAACACCAATCACCAATATCTACAATATTTTATCATCTAACAAGAAGGAGTTACCTGTATACAAGAATAAAACTTATTTAGTCTTCAGGTGAGCTTTAGGTAACAGGAACTGAAAAATCCATTACCTAACACCAATCACACATGCTTTGTGAAACCAAGTAACTTTAGGTATCAATACTCAGAAACCTTATGGCTTAAGTTTTTCAAAATAGGTATTTCGCTATTGCTGTAGATAGTAATTCACAAATTCACATGCATCCTGATGTAAAGTATGCAGTATCATAAATTACCACCATCTGATTTTAACTAAAGGGCTTAGAAGTCATGGGAGCATAATCCCCACTTGTATTCCTCATCACTAGAATTGCCTGCCCTCTCAACTACTAAGTGCAACTACACTAAAAGCAAGTACGCTTCAAGTTTTAGTTGCTAGTAGTTATTTCCTTTTTAACAAAGAAGGATTACAATATCCAAAACAATTTTAGTCTATTTTTAGCCAAAATCATAGTATTTCTTAGATACAAGATCAGTCTGGAACACATACGTATCTAGCAACATGTGTTCTGACAGCTGCTCGCTCTCTATTTTTTTTTTAATATCCAGTCCTCTAAAACAGTATTGGATTCTGTCCTTCACAGAGAACTTGAAGTTTCAGAAGGCAACAGTCAATAAAAAGACTGCTCATTCAGTGAAAGGCCTTCTGCTTGCATCAGAACAATCAAGTTCACTGAAAATGAACCTACCCAACGCTTGACTGCTCAGTCAAGGCAAGTAGCAGAGCTTACTGTTAGAATGACCTTCTAGAAATGTTACTGTTATTCTTTCAAAATTAACCCCACCACCCTACTCAAATTTTGGTTATTTGACTCAGCACAAAATTCCTTCTATTTCACTAAGCGCCTCTATCACCAACTAAAAGAAAAGATCGCACATATATTGACCCTTCTAGCAATCAGCAGCCCAACAAACTTGCAAGAAGGTGAAAAGCTTTAACAAGCCTGTATTTGTCATGTACAAAGCCTAGCAGAGGTATGATTTGCATTTTTCATTCTCTACAGTATCAAAAATCAGTAACAATGGGAGATAGCCCACGAGTGAAGTTCTCATTTAGGCCACACAAGAACAGGCACTGCAAACAGCCAGAATACGAAACAGCATGATCTAAAGAGCCGTCAGTCATTTTGCTACAGTAGTGTATACAAATAAGTTATAAATAAGAATTCACTGAGGCAGTAAGCTACCTCCCATCTTGTGCTAAGAACAGGCCAGTGCCCAAGCCACTTACTGGTCTTCTTGAGGTTAGAGGTGTTGATCCAAGTCCAGGACTAGATAATTCATCATATATGCTTCTAACTGGTGGAGCACCACCTTTATCTTTATGTGTAGGGACTACTGGTTGTGGGGGAGATCCTCCTGCAATTAAAAGGAACAAATGAAGAGCGTGAGAAAACCTCTAATTTTACTCCAGTGCTACTCATTCTTAAAATGTCAAGAGTAAATTCAGCCCCAAAAGCCTGTTAGTTGTTTCACTGGGGGTTCACCAGGCCTACTAAACTGTTCAGGTTTGAATGTTCTACAGAAGAACATCATGTGTTAGAAATTGCCTCCTTACACAAGTATCACCTAACACTTTCAGATCTCTTATTAAACCAGTATATTCCCTACTTATGTGTACTTGTTATTTTCATAAAGAACATATCTGCATCTTCCTATTTTAAGGCAGATTAGTAGTGCATTTAAATTGTTTCAGAGACCAACTTCCCCGTAGCAGAAACACAATAGCAATGTTATTAAGACTTGAGACATTCTACATGCTAAAGAACCATACCAAAATGCACACAAACATTGCACATGCTGTCACATGCTCCCTGTCCAAATGCCTTTCCTTCCCATGTAATTTCTTATTAAGTAAAAACATAAGCTCTTGAAAGCAGGGACTAGCTTACATTTAGACAGGATGAAGTTAAACCAACTGCTCTCTCATTTTGTAAACTTTGGGACTTCCAGTATAACAGAGATTTAAACCTAGGGAAAGATCTTGACAAATCTCTAAACACTTTGTGTGGGTTTACTCCAGGAAAAAAACAAAGTAGTTTGACTTCATAGTTTTCACTCACAAAACATCTGGAAGTTAAGCTTGTCCAAAGTAGTTCTCAATCCTAAATTCTGAGCTTCAAGACTCCTCTCTGAACTGTTTAACACATCCAAGAACTGTTACAGTGTATTTTAGAAAACACTCTCCCATCAAGGTTTTCAGTTTAAGTGATATAATTAATCACTCATTTTGGGAAGCCTGTGTTAGTATCTTACTATTTCCCCCTTTTCTAGAATTGATACTCTGAGGCTGTAATAAACCCTTTTAAAACCAATTAGGTGAAATTCACACGACCATTTTCAATTTCATAAATATCTTCCTAAGAGGCTTGGGAGTGGAGGGGAGCAGACAAGAGCAAAAAACCAAGAGACCACCAATCATAGATTATCTCAAGTTGGAAGGGACTCATAAGGACCATCAAATCCAATTCTGTTTGGAATTGAAAGAAAAGAGTATCTGAAATTATCTTGCAGTACTTCAATGTTCAATTGCTCCTTCAAAATTACTAACGCACTAACACCATCAGATATTTAGATCACGCCAAATGATTTAATAAAAAAGCCAAGATCAGTCATAACATGAAATAAATCAGTGAAGCTGTTAATCACTCATGCCTCTCAGGGAAAAACTGACATATAATACCACCATCTTAGGAACATGGGTAAGGACTTGTTCTAATCAGATCAATTAAGGAGCTGAAAAGAGATGAGCATCTACAGCTGGCAAAAGTCACTACTCCAGCCCAATTACAGCAGATATCAAGATATTAATTAAGACGTATTTTCTAGTTTTTCTCCATCCAGTTTCTAGAATTCTGACAATCTGTAAACGACTTTTTGGAATTAACTGAAATGAAATCAGCAACTTGTACGAGCTGCATTTAGCCTGCCAGCAGACATCTCTATTTTAAACAAAGAGAAGACATTGTTGGCTGTATGTGAAACTGACTTGTAAGGAGCCTTATAAACTGATTTTATATTAGGAAAGGTTCATACTACCTTCCCTGGTACCCAAACTGCCATGTTTAAAACATATATTAAACTTAAGGTTATTCTGAAGAATTTAGCCACACTCTACTCAAAACACGAGTTCATTGTTTATCCAATGAGCTGAGTTCATTTATAGCAAGTTATTAAACTACAAGAATTCAAGTCTGAAACAGTCATATAGAACAATAAGACAATCCAAATTTTTACTTTCAGGACAATTTTTCAGCATTTAACGAATTCTGACCTGCAAGTAGAGGAGACCTCGTTTCCATTACACCTACTGAAGGGCCACTTAAAGCACGAGGTTGGGGAGTCACTGGTGCAGGTAAGTCGCCCATCAAGAAACCAGGAAGAAACTGAGCACTAGCTCCTGGTTTTGGAGATGTCGGGGAACCAAGGGTCATCGGCTCCGCTCCTGCATTAATGAAAACAAAGTTTAAAAGCACGGAAGAAGCCAAATGATCTAGCCTTTTCGGTTGCTTAAACAATGATTCTATTCGAGAAACATAAAACAACGCACTAAGTGACTAAGATGGTTCTAATCATTTGTTTCCCAGGTAAGCAAAGTTCCTCACAGTATTTTCTTCACAGTATTGCGTTTTTTGCAACTATGAGAACTGCCACTCTAAAACTCTGTTCTTAAAATATACTACTTGGATTACGGCTGGATTTTCAGTTTTGAGAGCAGTTACAGCTTTTAGATTGTTTTAAAGGTGCTTCTTGTGTAAAAGCCACCAGGCCGGGGCCAGCCTCTCCTCCCCCGGCCGGCCGGCTCGCACACGCTCCGTCAGAGCGGTTCCCCCGCCGCCACAGCCGGGCCTCGCCACACGCCCCGAGCTCTCCAGGCGTCCCGGGCAGCTTCAGGTGCGGCCCCTTACCTGACGGAGCACCGGCCGCTCGGTGTCACCCCACGCCCCACTCCGGATCTCCCCCAGAGGAAGACACCCACCCTCACGCGGTCCCCCCACCCTCACCCACCTCAGCCCGGCGGCCTCCGGACTCCCCCCAGCGCGTCCCCCCGCGCCGAGAGCGGGATATTAGCCCCCGACCCACACGCCCCCCGCCCCTCCTCAGCGGGCCGGCGGAGCGCGGGCTGCTCCCCAGGGGTAAGCGAAGCAACGTCCCCCTCAGGCGCCTCGCGCCGCCCAACGGCCCCGCGCGCGCGCCCGACAGCCGCGCAGGAACGCCGCGAGAGCGGGGCGAGGCGCGGGCAGGAAGCGGCCCCAGGGGCCGGCTCACCTGCGGGCGGCAGGTCCATGCCGAAAGCGGCCACCTCAGCCCTGGGCGGCGGGAAAAGGCAGGCGGGGGAGCTCCGCCGGGCGCTTTCAAACGGGACGGAACTTCCTACCGCCGTCACTTCCGCCCCGCCCTCCTGCCATCTTATGAGCGGCCCCTGAGGGGAGTGAGGGGAGCGGGTCCGGCGTCCCCGCCCAGGGACCCCCGACAAACCCTCGCCGCCCGCCCCGGCTCTGCGAGCGAGGGCCGGGTGTCGCTCGTTCTGGATTCTTTCTGCGGACTGTGCGCTCATAAACCCGTCACTGAGGGCCAGCGGGAAATCTTACTCACCGCCCGGGGGGAACAGACTGTCCGTCATTTCCAGGGCCGACAGCACGCACAGAACCATCCCCATCCCAACTGGGAAATGCAGTGCCCAGTGTCCTTCCTGGGAACGGGGAAATTATGACCACAGAATAGCGATCAGGTGCTATGTGGGAGTTGGGGTTGGCGGGGGGTTACCTACGCCCTGTGTTGGCACCAGTAAAAAATACTGAGAACAAGACACAGTGTAGTTTAATCGGCACTGACATACTACAGTTCAAACTAGCGGTATGAGGAGAGAATACTGTGTCGGTTCTTGAAACCAAACCTTTCAAATCACTTCAGCACAAAATTTATCCAAACACAGTGTTATTTTTATTTTATTGGATATTAATATATCAAACCATTTAGAACCGGCACGAAGGCCACCAAAAAATACTATTAAAATCTTTCACAATTTCTTTTTTTGTTGTTGTTTGTTTAAACACGCCACCTTAAGACAGTAATTCCAGCCCAAGAGCTGTCAGGAGGGTCAAAGTTACCTATCGTATGGTGTCTCTTCTTTGTACGTGATGTGGAATGGAGTGAGGGGACAGCAGATGAGGTCTGAATGCAAAGAAAAGGCAATAGCAACGAGTCAGAGATAGGTTGTTATAAACATTTTTCGTATCTCCAACGAAATCATCTAATAAAAAAAAACCTGATAGCCTGGTTCCAGCACTTTGGAAACATCACGCTAGTGCATTTAATATCACTGCCTGATGAGAAATACTAGAAAGATGTGAAGCATTAAAGCATCCTAACACATTTTGAACATCCTCATAAGACCATCTGTTTTGATTTCCAAAAATATTTAATGGCTGGCTAGCCCACAAAATTCAATAAAATCCTCTCTAGTTCTAATACACATTTAAAATTCAGTATCAAGGTACCTTATTATATGAACATTTTATTATCTAGACTTTACAACCAACTAGAAAGCATAGATTTCGCTTAGTACTAAAGTAAACAGGGCAACTTATCTCAGTTATTTTATTTCTCTATTGCCTGCTTTTCCTTATGGTTCAATAAAAAACCATCATTCTGTTTTTTTCTAACACTACAAGGGAAATTGAACCTTATCTACCTATTAGCACTCTAGGAAGAATTTGTTCTTGTTCAAAATCATCTACAAAGTCAGTGGAACACCATTTGGCCGTTAGACTACGTGCTGAAAAAAGAGGGGATCAAGTCAACGATAAGAAAAAATAAAAAAAGACTTCAAAATGCACATGTGAAAGGAGACTGCAAAATTACAGGTTAGGGTGCATCCAACATCTGTTACGGTATACTCGAAATGGATTGTTTCGCTTCTCCCTTTTGATCAGTCGTGATCATTTATGCTTCCATTTGCCTTTATATTCTGTTCTTGATACTTGTGAAGCTGCTCCATGAAGCCAGGATTTGGACAAGCCACAGGCCTTGCATTTTTCACCAAGGAAAAGGCTCTAGCAAAACTCAGTCTTTCTGAATTCATTAGAAAACCAATGACTACTGCCGCTGCACGGGAGACTCCTGCATTACAGTGGACCAGTATCACACCATCCTTCAAGAAACAAATGAAACATAAGTTGTGATATTCATTAAGTAGATAGCAACAAGTCTTAGAACCTTTATATAAAAATCTATTAAGACTTATTGAAAGCTCCTTGCTGAGCTCACAGCAAATATTTACACATATAAGTAACTCCAAACACAGATATCTAAGCCCCAAATTAAACATTTTTCTAACCAAAGCCACTTTATCAAATACTTCAAACCTAATTCATACCTTTGAACAATTCCTCTGTCCGTTTCCCCAAAGCCTTGCAGCAGTCCCCTCACGTGAAAACCAAATCACTGATGTTTAGGATACTAAGATATCCGATCTAAGTGGGTGCCAATTTAAAAATAGATCTTATTTGCAATATAGAAAGGAACTTGACTGTGTCTTGTTACCAGGTTAAAAACATAGCAAGGCAGCAAACAGCTAGGCACAGAGGCAGATTTTAGAACATCTTGTGGTTTCAGTCGCACGCTTCTTGCGTACTCTGGAGTTCTTCAGTGAAGATTCTGGGTAAGCAGGATCATGCATAGGAACAGAAAAATCAGAAAAGATATCGTGTGATTTGCAACAAATCTCTACCTCCCCATCACACCGCTGGTACAGCTGTAGCGGCTGGTATAGCTGGTACAACTAAGGTCCCTTAACTGGAGAGTAAAGTGCAAAATCCAACACTACTGAACCTCCGATAGATTCACCCATGTTTGTCCTGGTGGTTAAATTCAGGCTTATCCTGTATTACCTATAAAATGAATATCCTACTTAAACATTTCCCACACAACCTTTGAGACCCCCAGATGACTCTTGAAAAATACACTGCAAGTTCCATTACGAACTCACGGCATGTGTTAACACAGAGACAACCAGACAATCCAGTGTGGCTTAGGCAATGTTTGCAACACCCAGGTTTTGTTATGTTGTCGTGTTTGTATGTCAGACTCTGACCTGGGAAAGGCTTGGTCCAAACTGTCTGCCAAATGCCACTTTCACAAAAAAAAGACCTTAGCATCTCCATATTCCGAATAAAGATACTGAAACACCACAGAGTGTGCTCAGATATTTGAGGCTAAACAAACATATTCTAGATAGAGACAGTCTGCTCTGTTTGCCCTTAACAGGCACAAATTACTCAATGGACATTTTATCCACATTAAAAAAAAGACCTTGTAACCAACAGGGTTCTTTTTCAGGAACTTTGTGACTTAGGTTACAGACCTGGGAGTTGCAATGATCTGGTATATTAATAAACACATGGAGCGGAAAATGGTTCCCGCTCCAAAAATCGTCCACTTTAAATAATTGACAAAGAGGTGTGAAATTGAGTGTTATTATCCTTGTTGAAGAGATGCCAAATTGAGACTAGAAGAATGACTTGCTCGAGGTAACACAACAAGTTCATGGCAGAGCTAGGAACTGAATCTAAGATCCTGCATCCTAGCACGATGAATCACAACACCACCCTTTTTTTGTGCAAGAAATCACACCCCCTTTGCACTGTCTGCTGCAAATCGTAATCTTCATTCCCTTTGTCACATTCACAGGGGCGCGCTTCCTGACCACAGGACTACAGCAGAGCACAAAGCAGACTTGTACATTTATTGCGACTACTTGAGGAAGTGCCAGTGGTGACCTGTAAATCCACTGTTTCTTTTATAATAATTACATTAAATTATGACATTAAAAATTAAATTTATGCCACTGTTAATGAAGCAATTGCTGAAGCTTATCCGCTGTAGATCTGTAGTAGTTTTTACTACTGACTTAATGGGAGTTATTTCAGACATAACATACCATAATTGCGATCAATATCTAGCAGTGGCACTGAGGGTAAAAAATAAACATTGAAGGTGATCCTTTTTTTTTTTTTTCCCCCCCCTCCTTGTGTAGGTCATGCTTTATTTTCCTCTTTCACTTTTTTTTTTTTTTTTATAATGCCTGTTCTGTTGTACTTTGCCAAAAATTATATAGAGATATCCCTAGAACAGACCTGAAAACTACTGAGCATGGGCAATAACATTGAATCAAATTTAATACTGAGAACATTCATCTTTCCTTGCTAAACTCCATTGTTTCTTTATACAAAGATGAATTTGGCATGTCATTCTTAACTAATTTTGCATTAGATATGAATACAGAATACAAGTGAGAAACAGATTGCAGGTATGAAATTAATCTCTATTCACCAAGAACTCCTTGCTCTGATCCTACTAGCCTAGCCTTCACCTACCCAGAAATGGTCTATGGACTTGCAAGAACCTCTTAAGATTCAAGACCAAGATGTGCTTTTAAAATTTATATATAGAGAGAAAAGCAAAATCACCTTCCACCAAGAGAAAAAGTGATTATACAGTGGTTATACACAGTGGTCAAAAAGCTTCACCACAGCAAGAAATTAAAAAGAAGCCTAAAGCTTTTGGTGAAGAGCTATAGGTTAATGTAGTTCCTTAGGGATCCACTTTACTTTGCAGTGGTGCCAGGGCTTTTTCTTTAGGAGGGACAGCAGGAGCAATAAGGAGAGATGTTCATGAATAAGCTAAGCTTGCCTCCCTGGAAAGACAAGATTTTAGAGGTTTTGTAATTAGATATTAAACAGAAAGATAAAAAAAAATATCCCTCATTCATAGCACTATGATCTGATATGGGTCACCTAACATGTCATGGAAAACCTGCCTGCCAATTTGGAGCCTAGAAGAAAAGGTGAGCTCTGATCAGTATCAGAATTTGTACCATGATGTCTACAGACTTGAGCAGTTACAGTTTTAGAAAAGTCAACCCCGTTACAAGTACCAGCTGGCAGTAGCTTGCTGAACAGTGCAGGCTTCACTCGCATTCTCAAATTCAAGTGCTCTCATATTCCTTCATCAAGTTAACCACACGTCAGTAATAATTTCTCATACATCATGCTCTCTCACCAGTAAGCGTCTCTCCCTCCCCCATGTTAGGAGATGAAGCAGTAGTATCTCTTTGTGACTAAACAGAAAATCACTTCATGATAAAATTTATCATAAGCTCTTTTAACACTATTTTGATAAAGCAAAGTGAATAAAACTATCCAGAGATCTGTCTCCCCATACTACTATCACATGCTTTGTGAACTGATCCTGGAAAATGACTACTCCATCAATTACCTGCTCTTTCCCCCAACTCTCCCATTAGAAAACTATCAATATTGCTGTAGAAGTCTTCAGGAAGACTCCTTAGCTTCCAAAATAGTAACTGGAACATAAACACCAAAGGCAGAAAGCAACACTATGCAGTTATGAATGGCAAGTCTCATTTAGAAATGAAGTGGAAACGGTAACTAGAAACCTTGAAAAGGTCATTAAGTGACAATGCGTATCACATAGTTCATAAATGATAAATGAGAGAAGGAAAGAACATTGTGTGACGCAAAGAAAGCTGGGGCAAGATTATCTTCTTTTATCCCAATCTACCTAAATAATGAATATGGTAGATATGGTGGGATAACGTGCAATAAGGTTGAGTTGTCAAGTCACCGTTTTGATACCAAAGCAATGGCTGTCATGAATCACACAGTGAGCCTGAACTTAACAAACGGGAGTCAGGGATGGTCTTGTTACAGACAAGTCTGACAAGCAACCCCAGAAGGAGTCCCATCACCCTACTTCCTATATCATGTCTTCTTCAGAATTTTGTTAGCAGTTAAATCACTAGTTGGCTCCAAGACTATTAACAAATTCTCTGACAGTCTCGGTACGTAACTGTATGTGGATTCACAGCTCAATGTGCCACATCTTCAATGGATGATCAAGGAAAAGCTCCAGGATGGTGGATGGCTGCTGACAAAATTTCTAAAAGCCCTGTTAGGCTTTCTGCTAATCCAAAGCAACATTCCTGATGGATAAATTATAGAAAGTAAAAGAAAGTTCCCTCTATCAGATGTAGTTACTTGGACTTATGATAGGATTTCTTTATGTGAAATCAACCACTGCTCCAACTGCATTAAAGAAGCATTTCTCTAAAACATCCAAAGACGGTCATTCTAAAAAAGCAATACTGGGGTGAATTGGGATTAACAGCGTTGCCATGTCTCCAGGAACGCTTAGAAATTGCCTAGGTTCTCCATTTAAAATTTAAGAAAGCAATAGCAAAACTATTCATTTGGTACCAAACTTTCTTTTGACAAAAGATGCTGCTTTAGATTTTAAACAGGGTAATAAATAATCTAACAGGATAACTAGTAGCATTAATTATTGATATACTGTACCTGGATCTTGGCTTTCTCAATAAATTCAAAACATTCTGGGAAATAGGAGATAATATCAGTTTCTGGGAGATCCAGAATAGAAATGGTCTTGTATATAAAGTCATCGAGGAAGGCATTTTGGACTCCATATGCCACATTTAGAACATGAGTAACCTAAGTGAAAGGAAAAAAAAAAAAAAAAAAAAAGGAAAAAGGCATGTTCTGAAGACAGCAAGCAAAATTAGCAGCAGTAAAGGTGGATTATTCTTTAGGCATATACAGACTGTAACTCACACAACTGCATTGTTTAGTTTTATATACATACTCTGTCTATGATGTGCTTTTCTCTAAGCAAAGTTTTACTGCCATGTTAAAATATATTGCGATAAAATTCGATTTTCTTCCTGTTTTTTTTAAGAGGAAACACCGAGATCTGTGTTCAACCAAACACAGACTAACGTGAGGATTTTCAACAGAAAAGGGAGTTGTCAGTACACAGGTGGGAAATAACAGAGAAAGCAATAGGAATGAGAGCACAGATGACCCAACAGTCCCCCAAATTTCAAGCCTGCCCTAACCCATCAGCTTAATGTTCCTTCTGGTGAGTTACCAGTACCATTTTACTGGAGCAGAAGGATTTCAGAGTAAACTATACCTGCACTTCGCAGGTGAGGCCAGACCTGGCCTCCTGCCATCTTTGCTCTGTTCAGGGAACGGCCAGGTTGTGGGTTATTTTAATGTACAGTGAAGTGACATTTAGATGGCACCAGATGCCAGACTGGTGCACTCCCTGTCCTGCAGAAGCACCACTGTCAAAAGGCCTTATCACCCCATTACTGTAACAGAGAAGAGTAAAAAGACCAAAGTTTGGAGCAGACTTAGAGCTGCTGCTTTTGGGGGGGGGGGTGTTGCTGTTGTTTCATCGATCCCCATAAGGCAAGGAGGCCTGATGCTGCTTCGTGTCTGGAACAGAAAATGCATGTGGCAGTCCAAGAATCTGTTCCAGAAAAGCAGCTCTGAACAACCATTAGTCTTGCAGCAAAATATTTCAGCTTCACGTGAAGCTCCCAGGCATCCATCCACCTGCAAATGGAGCGGCCTTTTAAACGGCAAATACGGCACGACTTTCCTTCACGTCATTTTAGAGTAATTTAGGCCTTCTGAGTGAAATCCGCTAACAAGCGCTACACAAGGGGCACTTATACTTCCGTGTGACGTTACCTTGTATTTTTTCATCGTCTCCAGGTCGTGAGCAGCATCCTGCGACCCTGAAGAGAAAGCGAGCGGGTTGCCGGGCTAACCCCGCTCCCGGCAGGCAGCCCCGGCCCCCCCCAGCCCCCCCCTCGCTTCGCCAGCCGAACCGCGGCCCCTCGGGCGGCACCGAGGGCGTCCCGGCCAGGCGGGACGCGGCGCTCCGCCGCCCCCCGTCCCCACTCACCCAGCAGCAACCAGGGCTTCACGACGCCGACCTGGAGGTCGGCGCTGAGGTCCTGCACGTAGCCGCCGCCGGGCGCCGCCTCCGCCTCCTCCTCCACCTGCAGGCAGGCGCCGCGCCACGTCTCGATGATCCTCTTGCCGGTCAGCGTCGTTACGCGGGTGCGCTGCTTCCGCAGGTTAGCCCTGGAGAAGCTACGGATCTCCTGGGTGAGGGAGTGCATGGCCCGGGCGCCGCCGCTCGCCCCGCGACTGACTGAGGGGGCGGCCGGCCGCCCCCCCCCGCCTGCCGCCGCGCAGCCCGCCGCCGGCCGCCGCACCACGCCGCCCCGCGATTGGCTGAGCGCCGGCGGGCCCCATTGGCCGCCGGCCCCGCGGGGGCGGTGCCCGGGCGCGCATGCGCGGGGCGGGCAGTGAGGGCTGCCCTCAGCGCCGAGGCGGGTCGGGGGCCGGGCCGAGGTTTCGGTTTCGCCTCGCCGTGGGGAGCGGGGCTCGGGGCTCGGGCTGGAGCCGGAGCCTTGCCGGTGTTGGGTATTGCCGTACCTTGCCTTCCTTTTCCTTCCCTTTCCTTCCCTTTCCCGCCGCTTCGAGCCGGCGGAGCGGCAGGGGTGGGACAGAACTGCCTGCGAAACGTTCGGGTCGCCCTGGGAGAGATGAGTGGCCTGGCGTTTGGTGGCGTCAGGCGCGGGAGGTTGGCCATCGCTTTTTTTTTTAGCTTCTGCAAACCTTAGGGTTCACCTAAAACATTGTCTTCTTAATTATATACATTTTTTTTTTTAATTTCTATTATTTGTGGGGCTTCGGTCTGCCAGTGGAGAATGTAGCAAGTGTAATTAATGTAGCCTTCTGATTGAAAATGCCCGTTTATTTTTTGAGTGCTCCTGTTTTGAAAAACAAGTTGTGCAGCAGCACCTGCCTGACCGTAATTGGGACTTGCTTCGTGGGAAAAAAGTGTAAACTGTTAAAGGGAAAATACTAGGTTTAAATACTTAATTTATTCCCCACCCCCCTGAGCCAGTGGGCTAGAGACCAAAGGCTAAATGAAATCACCTGCTTCTGTTTACGGAAAAGGCCAAGTAGGAAGAAGAGGGATACAAGGTGAGGTTGGTTTTCCCTGGATCCCACACGGCTTAATGCCCATGTATTCTCTGTAGAGTACTATCTATAGTGTTGCTAAGCTAGCGTGTGAAATTTTTGTTTTTGAAGCTAAAGGGTAATACTGTTAACATAAATTGTGCCAGAAATAATTTTTTTTTAACAATTCTCCATGCCTGTTTGTAGAGTAAGGATGTGTTACTCCAGTACTTCCCCTCTGATACTATAATGTTTCTCAAACTTATGCTGGCAGGATATGGCTGAAAAGGTCCTTCTGATAGTTCCCTAGAATGCAGTACTTAGCCAGGCCGTTTGGCTCCATGTAGAGAGGCCTGCAGATGCCTTGTCAATTCAGGAAGCAGAGAACGGTGTTAGGAAGTGCAAGAGCATAAGTGATTTCTAGGAATGCCAAAGGCAATCTTCTGACAGGAATTAGAGGTAAAATCAAGTTCATCTGAAAAAGGCAGAGTACCCCAGACACTGTCTGGAAAAGCAGATGTCTAAGAGGTAATATTAAGGAAGGTGCTTGGGGCAGGGAGAGGAACAGAACAGAGACCTCAGCTGGATCAGAGATCAAGGCAACAAAGGTCCCAAACAGTAGGCTCCAGGACCAAATGTAATTCTCAGCAATAGCTTCCTGCAGCAAAGATTAAATTTTAAAGACAAATAGGAGGTCTTATAACCTTCTACATGGTAGATGTGTGTTCGGTACCCTCTCCAGAAGTGGACTGTAGCTCATTGCAGTTAACCTAAAAGAATAATGATGTAGAAGTTGATTCATTCATTTTTGTTAAAGTCTAATTGACAATTTTGATGCAATTGATCAGACTGCGGCAATGGAGAGCTTTATGTCTGTGGGTTAAGCCAGCAATTGCACAGTATTTCACAGTATTTCTCATGGCTGTTTTTTAACCTGCATTGGCTTGCTACAGCTGCCCCTGTGAAAGACCAGGAACAGTAGGGTATCCTGTGGGAACACAGGAGAGCCTCATGTGTCAAGAGAATGGCAAGGCCTGAGCCAATTTTGCTTGCAGTCCAGACCCAGAAGCTTGCCATTAGAGTAGAAAGGCTGTAGGATGTGGTTTGTGACCACCTTCTGCCTGGTACAATCATGGGCCATGCTGTGCAAGAATAAGCTGTGATGGATCTGTAGGGTACTTACAGTTAATAATACAGCTACATGTTACTCCATAACCTCTGAGGAAGAGTTTGCAAGATGTGTGGTCACAGAAAGGCAGCTGATACCAAAATAATCGATTCATTTGATGCTCGGAATGTTTGTCGTTGTTATAACTACACTAAACACCAGGGGTCACTACTGGACATAAAATCTGTGTCTTGCTGAAATCCGAATATTCTGCAGAGGTTTATATGCAGAATAAGTATGTTCTTATTTAATTAGTGTGTCCGTAATATAAGCATTAGATCTAGCCCGAATATTCATATACAGTATTTTTTGTGATGCTGGCATTTACATGCTGTTGTCAAGTTGTTTGTACTTTCTGTTGCAAGATAGAAGATCATCTTGATATTGGAGTTTAAAATTGGGATCTCAGATCACAGATAAACACGTCTTCTTGCATGCTTTGCTGTCTTCTCTAAAGATATGGCAGGAGTTGGATGCTGCCTCCGCTTCGTTGGTTTAATGTGTTTTTGATCTTGCTGGATTTTCGTGTTTTAAATAAGCTACCTGCCAATGCAAATGCAGTAGAATTTAAAGTAATTTTTAAGTTCATGGTTATTATGTTTTGTTTCTCAAGAAATTTAGTAGAACCTGTTCTAGTGAGTATAAACTAAGAAATACTTAACATAGATACTAATTATTACAGAAAGCAGCTTCTACATATTCAGAAAGCTCATATGATGATACGTCATCTCCCTGTTGTATTCCATTATTCTTTCCAGTATTCATTTTGGTCTGGGTACTGCCTGTACTTATCAGTGTAAAAGAGCTAGCTTTTATCAGAGAAATTATAAGCAGGCGTTCCAGACAGCTGACTTTGAGAAACCAGCCTTGCACTCTGAAGGATAGATATGTTAGAGGGTTGAACTGAGCTGTATAATGCACTAAAAATTGAGTTGATTGCTCATGTCAGGAATTTAACTGAAGCAGAGAATCAAACCCTAATTAGTGCACTAATTACTTCACATTTCAAACTGAAATAACCAGATGACTTTGAGGAGTAAGGGGCAAAAATCAAAATCAGCTAATATCTAATTAATAATATAAGCCTCTGCTTCAGACTGTACATTTGTTACTTGAAAATAACTGCGTGCACCAGTTGGTCACAGGATAACTGTGAATCATGAGTGTAGTGCGGTGATGAGAAAGGAAAGCGTGACCGTCGAATGCATCAGGAGGTATTTAAAATAGGGAAAGGGAAATAATAATGCTACTGTATAAAGTTCTAATAAGCTTTTTCTGAAGTGCATTGTGCGATTTGGGGATGACCATACTCACGTTTAAAACAAGTGCAAAGAATAGCTGAAAGCTTCAATTGCACCATATATGTTAGACTCTCATCAAAGCACTCCGTGGTACTTGATCCCCTTGGGACAGGCACCTTCTGTCCATACTGACTTGAGTGGGAGTAGCCCCCTGGCATAGTAACTATTTCGCCACCATTTGTGTCAATGTGAGTAGACACACTTCCAGCAGGGACTTGCCTGCCTCACGCCCTCCAGAATGGTGTGCCCCACACAGCGTGGAGGCCCTTACCTGACGCTGAGTCTTAGTTTCAGCTTTGCAAAGTTGTCAAGACACGATGCCTACTTCTGCTGTCTTTCCTATTTCCGAAGAAGCGAGCGGTTTGGAGGCACAAGCTCAGGGTCATTCACACCATAAGCAACATGGCAAGATGGTATATGGGAGGGTGGCTGGAGCATGACATGCTAGAGGGAAAAATCACGTTTGCCTTCAGAGGGGTTTGCTTTGGCACATGTTTGTGCTTCATGCCATTTCCCTCATGTAGAGAAGCTCTGGCTAAGAGGCAACCACTCATTTGTTCTCATCCGTTTGTTTTCCAGCCTTTAGACTTGTCTGCATCTACTAGGCATGGAGATAATATTCTGGAAGAAAACTAGAGTCCCAGCAAAGTGAGAGTGAGATTAATGGAGAATGACTTGTCCTTTTCTCGAGACTGGTTGTGTACCTTTGTCCTATATCCCGAATGAGGATGCAGATACTACCTCTTCTGACCTGGTGTTCAGTAACACGCCTGGAAAATCTATCTTGAGTGAGATCCTGACTGGGAAGTGAAACATAAGACTTTAAACAGCTACTGAAGTGTAGACAAAAACCTTGAAATGTCATTTTATGGGGAAGAAGGAATTTGTACCAAGCCCTTTTCTGGAACAGAATATAGTGAAGAGTGAAAAGTCTTCCAGGATTCTCATTTTTGTGCACTGAGATGACTGCATCACTGAGGTGAGCCATACAGGCCTAAGAAACTGTTAGTTTGCCAATTATTGTAGGGTTGTTTTCTTCTAGGATGACAGTAAGAAGGGGTGAAGGTAGGGGCAGATTGTTAAGTATAAGGCATTTAAAAAGTGTTGCCCTAGTAGACAGTCCAAATGGGGAAAGTTATAGGAAGCGGGACCATGCTGAAGCTGTGGACAGAAAGTTAACAAAACAAAAAGCTGACAGGCCATTCCTACACATACTGCTGCAGTCACACACACTGTGACCTGGTTGGTAGCGAGCCAAGCTTCAGTGTAAGGTGTTAGCTTGCTTCCAGGATTTCTGTCTCTGCCAGTTTGTAACACGTTAGAAGCGCTAGACCCTATTGGCTGAACAATGTGTGGTTCCTTGTGAGTGGGAATGGGCAAGGCCAGAGATGGTGTGAGTCAGCTTGAATTTTTTTTTTTTGTGCTTTGTTTCCACATAACTGTGGTGCTTATTTACTGCTGCAGAGGGCTTCCCATTGTAAGGGGTAGTGTATATCCTAAGCACACATTTAGATATCCTCTCTTCCTATACCCCTTTATCATGCAAATCAAAACATCCAATAAAGCTATGCTTCTCATGTGTGCCACATCATTCTTGACCAGCTTTCCTGATGTAGTGCTTCTTCAGGTAGGAGCAGAGGATGCATCTTCATCCAGCCTGGAGATAGAGCCGGTTTCTCAAGTCTTTGAGTCTGTAGCCTGGGAGACTGAGTTGGTGATACGACTGACTGACAATGTGCATATAAAAGCCCGGTCCATACTGCATGAGACAGTGAACAAT